ATTTCCCCCGAAATGGGAGCGGGCGGCGATGGGCTGCTGCCGCCCGGCCGTGCCAATGGGAGCCCGACTGGCCGTCGGGTACCCGCAACATAAGCAAAGCTACATGCTCGCCCCGGCGGCACGGGGACGGGAGAGCAGGCAAAGGTGTGTAAAGGAGGGGGTCTGCTCCTCTCACATGGCTCCGCCGAGGACGGATCTCGTTAGAGAGCTTCGTCGGAGACCATCTGCCGCTCGCGCGCATTGTGCCTTCCGCAAAAAGCAGCATTAAGTCATTCACTCGCTGTCGTGTGGGAGGCGAATTTGTCATCGGGAACGATGGAGCTACGGGATCTCTGTAAGTAAATCCGTGTACTTTATCCTGCTATTTCAGCCCCGGCACAGATCAATAAATGGTGTCGAGGAATGGCAAAAGCAAATTAGTAACAACTGCAAATAGCGCGAAGGATTTCTCAGTTTTGTTTCGCATGTAGCGAGACGTGTTCTTCCTAATGGTTTCAGGCATCAGACAAACTAGTTAGCTGTTTGCATTGCCTTGGGTGGTTGTTTAGCCTAATTAAGATTAGTCTGTGGAAGGATGCTGTTTCCTCCGAGGCATTTCAGAACGACTCTGTCTTTGAAAAGGAAAGCAAACCACATGGAGCAGAATATCGCAGGTACAAAAGTCCGAGGTGCCCATAGGTAGTCACCAGCATTTGTGGTGTTGGTATAATAATAACAGGCATGTTATTACAATGGTTTGTCAAACACTAGTTCAGACCCTGAGCCAAGAAAACACGAGTTGCTCATCATTCATCACTGTGCTCAGCATAGAGAATCATTGCTTTTCCTGCTCTTTATGTTTTTTTTGGGGGGGGGTTTAAGTCATTTCTTCTTTGGAGAAGGCTTTTAAAAAACACATTTAATTCAAAAGCTTTCCTGTTTGTTGATGAAACAGGTGAGTACGTGAAAAGTGTGGAGAGTTTCCTTTTTCACCATTGCGGGGCATGAGTTAGAAGTTGATTCGTTTGCCTGTTGGGACTCTGCTTGTGATTCTGTAAAGCAGAAACGGTATATTTAGACGGGGGAGGGGGTGTGTACAAATCTGTCCCTCTGTAACCCTCTGGGGTTGCTTGAGTTACGCCAGCCATGAATTCAGCTCAGCATTGTTCATGTTTTATCAGGTATTTGCTGTTAGTCTGGGAGCTTTGCTGCACGGAGCTCATGAGTGACTCTCTGCTTAACCCTCTCGGAGACTGTACTCATCTTGTCTGGTTTGTGAAAATACATAGGAGAAAGGACAGAAACAGGAACAAAAAGATTTAGAAAAAACTTTCTGTATTTTCATTCTATGCCTGAGCTAGTCATGTGTATCAGGAATTTTATAGTAACCAAACTAGGTGCAAACATCATATGAAGCTGGCGGCTCTTTAGAGATCCATTTTCGGTGTCTTGTGTTCGTTTTAGAACTAAATGCACAACTTCCTTTCCCAGTGTTGGGAGCTGCCGGAAAGTCACATTGCTGCCTGGGAATCTCAGACTGAGAGTGTGATTTTTTATTTTTTTTTTTTTTTAAGATACGGCTTAACTGGTCAGCTTTGATTTTGAGATACTACCTTGCAAGTTGTGGCAGAAAGGTGTGTCCGTGGAGCTTATCCCTTCAGTTAAAGGAATCAGCGTTGCCTCAGAGTTGATGCTAAAAAGAATTGTCAGTGTTTTCAAGAACTGTTCGATCAAAATAAATTAGAAAAATAGGGAACATAGAATTCAGTGCATCAATACAGTGAGAGTGTCTGTTGGTGAAGGCTATATTAAGCTCCTCTGTGTACTTTTGAGTGTTTAACCCGATGTATCACAAATGCAGGAGGACCCCTCATTAAGCTTGAATTATTGCCTTTTCTGAAGGCATAGATGTAAGTCACTTTTCCCTGTGTTTCCCAGGGATGTTTGGGTTGCCTTTTATTGAAACGATGGCCCCAGGCATCCTATGGCACTGGGCTTAAAAACAACGTAATTTTCCTAATCTATGCAAAAAAGAGAGAACTGTTAGCTCTTATTGCAATACTTATTTTTGTTTAGCAGTGATGCAAGTGCCAAGAATGAAATTTTTGAAATTAAGCAGATATTTAGCTGCTATGTCACCTTCCCCCAGGGGCTTGTATCATTTATTTGTATTTACTTAGCACTGATGTAGCTGAAAATCCCATCACGTACCGCCATCTAGGCAAAGAGATGTGCCCACTTCCCATCTTGGAGGTGGATACTTTGATCTAGGCTGAGATATTCCATAAAAAGCTGAGGGAGAGCTTGGACTCTTGCACACCTGGGCATGGTTTGTTCCTGGCTCCAGGCTGGTCATTTTGAACACCTTTGGGATGCATCAAAATGAAGCTCCATTGCACCTTTGGGGTTTTTTAATTCTATATATACTACCTTCTGCTTTATTTTCTGATTGATAACGTGAAAGCCTAAGAGAACATTGTCTTTTAAGGTCACTGCAACTTTTAAGATGGTATTTTAGTTCTTGTTAGAGCTCCAGAGGTATAGTTCAAACAACATAAACCTCTCAAGTTTTGTCACTAGCATTAGGCAAATACTGTGTGACTGATAGCGTTCCTATATCTCCCATAACCTTGTTTGAAGGGATTTGTGTGCTTGTCTATCCCTGTGCATTAGTAGATAAAGGAGGGGGACGGGGAGGGAGAGAGACAGCCTATAACTGCTAAGCTCTGGATAGCGCATTGGATCAGTCAAACCACAGTGGTGCCTGAGGTAGAAAAATCTGTGTTGCAGTCAAAGGCACGCTTGCATTAGATTTTTGACCTGATGGTGCAGAGAACAGTTGCTTGTCGTTAGTGCTTGGGAATGATCTATGTGGGAGAGGCATTTCAGATTCCCAGGCTATAAGAGTTCCAGCAACAGAGGAGTGAGTAGGCATCAGTGAGAGCTGTGGCATGCTGGCAGCAGTTGGGAGGATGCAGAAGCTGAAAAATGCTATCTTGAGGTAGCTTTAATTGGTTGCATTGGAAAACACTTGGTTTTGATGGGCTCATGTCTTCTAAAACGCTTGGTGCCAGACCAAATTGGGATACCACCATTCACTTACACGAGAAGCCACCAGACATCGATCTGAACTTCAGTCTTATGCTTACGTTTTTCTTGGGAGAGCAAGATTTTTACAAAGGCAGCAGGTTATTTTTCCTCTCCATTTTCCTCAGCAACAGTAAAATTGAAACCTGAGTGGACCGGGAATTCCACAGGTTTTGCCTTGTTTCCATGGGCTTTAAACTTAAATAGGTTATCCTTCATCTGCTTGCAGAGCCTCATTCTCTTATGTTAGTCTATACTGGAAGCGTAGAGCAGAAATCCAGAAGGGAGGCTTTATACGTATCCAGAAATAGTGAATTTGCATATTTCATTCTTTCCCTGGATCTTAACCCTCCTTCAGTTTCAGCAGAAACATTGTGGTCATTCATGTTCTAGGTAAACATGCTAGAGCCACCAGTCTTCAGTTTTGCCTCAGTTGTATTTTTGTTTTCACCCCATTATTCAAATAGGTGCAACTTTTATGCAAACTACAAACCAAATACTCTTCTTTAGGTGGCTCTGATACATTTACATCCAAATGAATTGCAGACAGTCGTAACTCCAAATGAGACTAACAGCTCAAATGAGAACAGTTCCTTATTTTTGTGTCTGGAAAAAAAACATTTCTAGGAAAAGTTACTCCATGCTAGGACTTGGCTTACATAGAGCATCATGCCAAGTTACAGAAAGCTCTCACTCCCTGTTCACTACATGCACACTCGCATCTCAAATGGCAAGTGCACACAACAAAGCAACACCAAGCACAGAATAAAAATGGAACAGCAGTAAAACAAAGACGAGTGAATCGTGAAAAGCTCATTGATTTGCTTGACACCCATTTTGTTCAACATTGTGCAGTGCTAATCTGAAAACTCCTGTGCGTCACAAAAAGTTTTCAGAACAATAAGAACTGTCAATTCCAGCATATTTTACAGACCTGTCATTATTCTTCCATTGTCTTGAAGCACTAAGTGGCGTACAGAGGGTTTTTTGGCAGGAGTTCAGGAGTGGTCTCGTAAAGAGGAATTGCGTGTCACTACCTCACGTATGTTATCATTTGCAATTAGAGTTTAGCCCAGCGCAGGCCCCTAGAAGCATGTCTGCCCCCATCTGAGTGTGCTGCTTTTATGGCGCTCATTTATTTTGTCTCTTAAAAAAACCACAACCACAAACCACCGCTTTTTGCTGTTCTTAATTGCGAAAATGTAAAAGCAAGAAATTATAGACGTCTTTCTACATTTTGACTTGATGTCTTCCAGAGAACTAGAATACTGTAATAAATTAACATCCTGCCCCACCTGCTGCTCCTTTGGAAAGGTGGGAACAGCAGCAGTGATGGCTACAAGCAGAATTTGTTATTAACACCCTTTTTCTTGAGATGGTATCGCTGGTACTTCTCTTGGAGTATCTGGGTCCTCCCCTGCTCGAGTGGAGCAAAATTCCTTCTGCTCTGCCCTGTGTTCTTTCACTCCAGATGCTTTGCCCCCCAGTTAAGAAAAAGAAGCACGCACACACCCCACCCCCCATCATTAGGAATTACAGCCCCTCTTAGGGACATGCCCCTGTGAGGAGAAGCATGATGGGAAGAAAGATAGGCTTTGTATCAGGGAGACTCAGTTTTAACTGCTTTATCCAGACTCAGAGGCCATGTAACTGGAGTGTTTTGTCTTCCATACTTACTCTTCCCAGTGTAGCATCATCCACATACATACTTCACCCAAATTAAATAAAGTTCCAATACAGTAAGGTCGTGACATTCACTCTGAAAATGAAAATATGAATTGAGTTATGCATCCTTGGTATCGGTAACTTGCAGGACCCATACATATTGCAATAAATCTGCAGCATTTTGAAAAGTCTGCGGGACATAGATCCCCTTTTTCTGGACTTCACGCAAATTCTGGCAGGTTTCATTACTTAAGAATTTAGTGGTTTCAAAAAAACTTGTGAAAGTCAGACCTCAGACGACACATATGACCTTCATATAAACTAGAACTTTGATTAGCTATAGTTTGGGTGTTTTAAACTCCTCTGTAATGCACAAAATCAATCTTGTAATGGGGTGAAAAAGGAGATCTTTGTATTAATGCTAGCACACTGTCAAATTAATACATCAAATAATATACTCTTATCCTGAATTGGCGGACTGCTTTTATCAGCGCTTTTGATGTGGCAAAAAAAGTGCTTGCTCCATAGCTATAAACCCAACTCTCTTAGTCTGCCCTTCTCTTTGAACTTCAATTTTCTTAAGACTTGGAACATCGTGATACA